ATCAAAAACCTTCATTTCTTTTCGACTGAAGAAAGAAAGACATGGGGGTGAGTAAATTATCAGCAAAAGTTTTTTTTTTTTTTTTTAAAGTGAACTACTCCTTTAAGCCTAGCCCCAGACTAAAATGTGTATTTGAGCTGTTTTAACTGAAAGTAACTTTCCCTGACATCTTAAAGTACGTCACTGCCATTGTTTAGTCTCAAGAAGAAACATTGGTACATTTATAAAAGCCACTTAAATGCCCTAAGTGAACTAAGGCCTAATCCTGGATTAGTCTAAGCCATGTCTGTGAAACCAGATGACTATTTAATGAATATTAATTTAGTTACTATTAATAATTTGTAGTAGTTATTCTGATAAAGTGCATTTGGATGTTGTTTTCACAAAATAATGAAATATGAATGGAACTGTTTACTCATATTTTTTCACCATTGTGTGACTGCGGTATGAGAAAGGAGTGTTTTTGCAGAAAGTCCTGGCTGCTATTTTTGATAAATTAACATAAATATTGACCAGAGGCTGTCCGAAGCTTCAGAATTACATCCCAGAACCCTTCACACTACTGAAACAAAAGGTAAATTTAATACTTTTCTTCAGCAAGGATGCATTATATTTGATCAAAAGTGACAGTATAAAGACAAATATAATTTTACACAGTTAATGAATGATGTTCTTTTGAACTTTCTATTCCTCAAAGAATCCTGAAAAAAAAAAAAACAGTATTACATTTTTTTATCACAGAAAAGCCGGAAAAGCCACATTAATTGTAATAAGAAATGTTTATTGAGCTCCAAATCAGCACAGAATGATTAATGAAGGATCATAAGAGACTGAAGACTGGAGTAATGATGCTGAAAATACAGCTTTGTATAAATTACATTTTAAAATATATTCAAGTATATAAAAGGTTTTTTTTTTTTTTTTAACTCTAAAAATGTTTCACAACATTACTGTCGATAAACGAATGCAGCCTTGGAAAAAAAAGACTACTTTCAAAAAACATTTAAAAAAAAGATATAGACTTTTGAATGGTAGCGTACATATCTGCACCTACAAAGAATAAGCCGTCATAAGTCAGACACATGTAAGATTTTAAGGGTCTGTTTGTAGTACTTAAGGGGAAGCACGTGTCAGAGAATGTTTTTGCTTTCTCGCATGCGATCTCAGAGAAACCGTCTGTGTCACGCCACCGCGTTAAAGAGAACGTGCGATCGGGACGAGTCGCAGCGTCCCAGACAAGTGCTCTAATGGCTCCATCCTCTCTCTGTACAGTGTCTGCACTGAGGTCACATTGTGCGGCATCAGGAGGTTTAGCAGGTGACGTTAGAACCAGCCCTGCGCTACATCACCCCCAAAAAAACACTCTGTATCAGCCAGCATCTTGGACCACGTCAAGTTGCGATAAGAAAACCAGACCGATGCACACACACAAACAAAATATCATTCCATCCTCCAAAACACTTGACTCTGTCATGTGTATAATATCAAACTAATCCTCTCCCGCTCTTTGCTATCAGGCTAAGGTGGGTTTCCGTAAATCTCCAGAATGTCTGTGGAAACATACAGGAGATTATCGGCGAGGTCAAGAGTTTAATGCGAACTCGTGATCCTGCTCGTCTCCAGCGCTATTTTCGGCTCGTTGCCTCTGGAAACCATGTGATTTTCTGCTTTGTCTATAAATAAGCTGGAAAAAAAAACATGTCATTTCTTGAAGGCATAATTGAGTTGATTAGTATATTTAGTGCCTTTTTAATGATTTAATATGTTTAGCAGCTATATTTAGAGACTGTGTCTTTTAATTATCTTTTCAGAGATTGCAGCTGGCCAGTGAGAGGGTCAAAGAAGGATGAAAAGATGGTGGCTGCTTTTGTCATTTTGCCCCATTTCCTGCTATAAGAGGGTTGTTACTGTTATGCCATCCTGTTTGAAGTAGTTTCTATATATTTATTTTATACTTTTAAAGTTGTGTGTTTAAGGACAAGTATTTCCATAAAAGGATGTTCTAAACTTTCAGACATACAGCGTCGTTGCGTTTAGGCCCTTTAATTAATTTTAACATTTTTATTTACACAAAGAATAATGCCTAACAGGACTGATGCCTGCCAGCTAATACCGCAAAATTGAACAGAATCGATCAGGTCCAATGCTGACATTTGTGATGTTGTTTTCCGCCAAAATGATGTCACTTGCTGAATGATGATGTCATTGAGGAACTAGCTTTTGTTTAAATCAATATTACAATCAACAAAATGAAAATGAATTGACGACCAGATTTATTAATGTATTTATTTATTTAGTGTAATACTTAAATTATTTTAAATTCACCTTTGTGTGGATTCATGTGTGATATCGTGATAAAAAAATCTAATAAAATGCTTTTTAATTACATTTTATTTATTTAATAGTAATACCAATATTTCCTAATAGAATTGCAGTTTGTTAACTATTTAAAAATTCACTTCTGTGTTCATTTATTTGTGATATTGTTATACGTCGATTAATCGCATCTAACATACGTTTTTGTTTATATAATGTGTGTATAAATATTATTTATATACAGTATATGTGTGTATATATATATATATATATATATATATATATATATATATATTTAATTTTATACACACACTCACATATATTATATAGGGCTGTCAAACGATTAATTGCGATTAATCGCATCCAAAATAAAAGTTTGTGTTTACATAATATATGTGCACTGTGTGTAATTATTTTGAATACATATAAATACACACACATGCTTGGATATTTAAGAAAACAATATTATTTATATATAAATATTTATAATTATATCTAATATAACTTATATATGAATCTATATGCAGTATATACATGGAAATATTTCTTAAATATTAAACCATGTGTGTGTATTTATATATCTAAAATAATTATACACAGTGCACATATATGTAAACACAAACTTTTATTTTGGATGCGATTAATCGTTTGACAGCCCTAATTGTTATTAAAGAAAGTCGAGTATTATGATATATACATTTTTTATTTATTTCATGTTTTTATAATTTAATAATATTTGATATTAATATTTTATCCGATAGTGAGATAAAATAGGGACATGTAAATGCACAGTACAAATAAGGTGTGAACCTCAGTACAGCAACATTTGGTGACACACCTGGACAACCTCTCTCAATGAATTCCTCTGTGAGTTTGACATTATGTCGGCACAGCACTCGACAAACAACAGAAAAGAGAAACATACCCAAAACTCAGCAGTCACTGCTGTTGATTTTACTGTTTGTTTGCCCTGAGGTCTCCTTGCGTAAGATCAGGAGGCAAGCAGGGGTCTGCAGGATGTTTGCTTTGCCTGCTGGTTCCCCCTGGCCTTGCCACAGCGACCTTTCATCCAGTCTGACTGGACTGTGGAAAACTGCCGTCTATCTCCCTCCAGCTTAATCAACCAATTTCACAAGCTACAGTGTATTTATTGTTGCAGGCGAACCGTTTTATTTAGCTTTGTTAGATGTTTCCTTTCCCCCTTTTGGGAAGCACTTGGTAAAATCCACTCTGTTTGGTTATATGCTTGCTTACACATCCGCCGACCCCAGTGCCTTGTTCTCACCAGGCTATGGGAACAGTTTTCCAGTGCATCAATAGATTGTGTACACTTTCTTTCCTCCTGCAGGAGTGTGGTGGTGCAGGCCAAGAAGCCTGTGTCGGGCCTGACGGTGAACACAGTGGGCAGTTCTGGCTCCGGTAGTGCCCTGACCTCCGCTAGCACCCCAAACATCTTCGCTGCTACGTCGGCTGCCCCCAAGAGCATGATCAACACTACAGGTAATCGCTCTGACCCATCCTCTCTCATTACATCCCAACTCGGCCTCTTCTATTAAGTTGTTAACTAACTTTATAAGGATAGATATAAGGGTCACAACCGCTCTCTGTGTTGTTAATTTGAACGTGCTAGTGCTTAAGTGAATTTCCACTGAAATGCAGGCTCTCCTCTGCTATTCCGAGAATAATTAAAACATGCCATTCCCAAAAGAATTCAAACCCGTTCGGGGTCAGGAAATTAGATTTGGTGGCATCAAGCGGTTTGTCCACTAGAGGGCACCCCTCGCTATATATTTTTTCTCAGAATGTCATGGATTCACAGTGACTGCAGTCTCATAAAGATAGGATCTGAATGAAATTTCAAGGTTGTTAGAAAGCCACATGGAGACTGTAAGGAACTTGTATGTCAAGTGCCTGCCTCAGGCTGTACACTGTGAACACTATAGCTTTTGCTCTTAAAACTTGAGCTGTTCTATACACTTATTTTGTGTTTATGTGTATGTGTGTTTATATGTTTATTGCTTTAAATAATTTCATGTCTGGTTACATAATGTTTGATTCTGTGGGATTCAATGAAAATGCCTGGAATGTGAATTCTCTTTATTTGTTTATTTTAAAGATTTTAGATTGATTGAGAATTGTAGGCCAAGTTTAGATGGGATTTTATATTAATATATTACAAATATAACATATAACAAAACATACTTATTTTTACACAAATGTCTAAATATGTATCCGCTTAAGTAAAAAAGTATCCGTATTAAGTAAAAATATATATATATATATATACATGTACTGTTACATAAATAAATGATAATACAATATATAATTTTACAGCTGCATTTATTTACTTATTTGCTAAAAAACATTTGAATAACAATTTAAAATAACTGTTTATTATATATGTTAAATGCATTTCCATTCAAAAATGTGGGGTTTGTAGGTTTTTAGGCTGCTTTTTAAATTACATTTTAAATATATTAAAATACAAAACAGATATTTCAAATTGTAATAATATTTTAATATGATAGGTTTTATATTATTTTTATAATTTAAAATCTATTTTAATATATTTAAAATGTCATGTATTCCTGTGATGAAAAAGCTGTGTGTCACATGATCATGTCACATGATCCTTCAGAAATCAATCTAATATGATGGTTTGAAGCTCAACAACAGCAGTTGTATTTTTTTTTTTTTTTGGGGGGGGGGTACTTTTATAATTGGAAATAGGAATCTTCTGTAACATTATATACACCTTTACAGTCACTTTTGATCAATTAACTGAATACTTGCTGAATGAAAGTATTAATTTCTTTAATAAAATAAAATAAACATACTAACCCCAAACTTCTGAAATGTTGTGTACAGTATATTTTGAGAACCGAAAAACATATCACATTTTCCTTTAAAAAGAGACTTTTAGTCCCCCTTGTCCATTAAATAGATTGAGATCTTCGAATGCACAAGGGACGTTGATTTGGATTGAGGTTGAATCAGGCCAAGCTGCACTTCCAGTGAAATCCATCAGAATGTCCCTCTTGACGTTTCCCTTCATCTTGGTGTATTTGCTTATGGGTGGACACTCATCTCTGACACAGCGATTGATGGCTGCGTAATAGATTTCCCATCCTCAGATGTCCCGTGACAGCTTGTGGTTTCACAGGATGACAGTCCATTGCGGTGATGTATCTATCAGAAGCTCCCTGCTGCACAGGACACTGTGGACACTGTGCCTTTTGACAGAGAGAGAGAGAAAGAGAAATATAAGAGGAATTGTAAGATGGTGCTTCACTTTCTCATGGGGAGGCGAGAGTAATAGTGATGATTCGTTTCTCAGAGCTTGTGTCTCTGTCGTTATGTTGTTACCCGATGAAAAACCCCAAAGAGAATTTTTATCTTACTGCATCTGATGTTTTGGTGGGCATTTGTTTTGGATGTAAAGTGAAATTTTTTTTTCAGTGTCTACAAAATATTTTTAATGTATTTATTTGTTTCCCCCTAAAGTCCACCAAAGTTTTTTGCACCAAAACTTAATTTAGCGATTCACAATGCATAATTAAATAAATAACATCAGCATGTTCCTAATCTCGGACTTCTCTCTTGTTGTCTTGCAGGAGCCACGGATTCGTCCACTTCTTCTTCTTCCAGCTTTGTGAATGGAGCCACCAGCAAAAATCTGCCTGCGGTTCAGACTGTGGCCCCCATGCCTGAGGACACAATGGAGAACATGAGGTGAATCTGAGTCCCAGGATAGAGATGCAGCTTGATATTCATGGGAATAGGATAATTATTATTATTATTTAATTTTATTTTTTTTGGCAGGAATGAAACCAAGGTTGTGAGTGATAGAATACAGTGTGTCCAATAGATTGTACAACAAACTTTGTTCATCTTATGAAATGTCTCTCTGAAAGAAAAGAAAAAACTTTGGCTTTGTAAAGAGTGCAAGTCTGTCCCTCATTACACAGCCTCATTAAATTCAATATGTCGTCTAACCTGACTAAGGTTTGGATGAAGCAAATTTGAAGCGATTGTGAGGTCACAACATATGTAGATTTATGTTAATGAAAACAAGACTGGGAGTACTGTTATGTCTTAAGCATAGGGACGCACAATATATCAGTAGCATATCAGTTATCAGTCGATTATTTATTTGTTAGAATTTAAATATACGTTGACCAGTATTGGATGTTTCATTATGCCTGATTATTTTCATTCTTTTTATATTTATACTACCTTTGTTGTCATCTAATGTTAACTTAAAGTTGATCTCTAAAGCAGTAATAATTTAATAACACGGTTAAATGTAATCTTTAGCAAATTTAGATATTATTTTTTTCATACTGTATATTATAATGTTGTTCATTTGTAGATATAAACATCTTATATTTTAGTGTTTTAAATTTATGCAGACAAAATATTCTAGTTTTATATTAAACCATAGTCGGTCTGAATACTTGATTCTGGTTGACTGGAAGGTGTGCAGTAAAACTTTTTAATACACAGGTAGTTCCAAGTCATTTTACTCACAGTTCTATTTTCATTGACGCATACATACACATGCATCACTCTGAGATCGCACTTCGCACATGCAGATACAATCAGAAATATTTTTATTAACAAATTAAATTGGCTACTGAATCGCTACATTATATTTCTCTGCAACAAAGCGGTTACATCGCTGGTTTTTAAGTCATTAAACTCAGCTTTGTTGTTATAGAGAGAGTCACTGCACAGTATGATGAGGTGATTCACACACACACACACACACACACACACATAAACATCTTATCTCTCTCTCTCTCTCACTCGATAATACATTCAAATAAATGCTGTAATTGATTAATTCATATACATGTAAATGTAATCTTATGCTCCGCTTTATCTGTGTGTCTGATTCAAAGTAGGCAGAATGCTTGTTCTAATGAGCCGTAACTTCCGGTCAAATATTGCGCTGCAAACATCAATGACAGCTTTAAGTTGTCAATTCTGGAAAATGACCATGGTATAAGCAGGATAACCCACGGCTCTCTATTAGAGCAGTCAAACGATTAATCGCGATTAATCGTATCCAAAATAAAAGTTTGTGTTTACATAAAATATGGCTGCACTGTGTATAATAATTTTGTATATATATATATATATATATATATATATATATAAATACACACACATGCTTTAATATTTAAGAAATATTTTCATGTATATACTGTATATAGATTTATATATAATTTATGTTATATATAAATATAAATAGTTTATATATAAATCATATTTTTTTTCTTAAATTTACATGCATGTGTGTGTATTTATATATATATATATATATATATATATATATATAATTTATTTTTTAGAAGTTGAATGTTTTATCAGCAACATAACATGAAAATAATTGGCGGTGCATTTATACTTAAATTTCATAATTCAAATTTTATGTGCACTGTATGTCAATGTGTCAGTCCCTCAGTTTAATTTTCATTCACTGCAAATAGGCTATCTACCTTGACTAAGCTCCATATTTCCAGGCAGATTAATTTTTAAATGATTAATAATGCATTTAATTATTTATTGAATATGTGTCTTATATTTCTGTAGACACCATTTAAAAAAAAAAAAAAAAAACAAGATACATGATTTCTCACAGTACCCCTTTAACATGGTAAAATCACTGTAAAACACGCCCTCAGAAAGCGTATTGCTTTATTTGAGAGTGTTTGTGAGCGGAAAATGTTTCCTCTGTCAGCAGCTAATCACATGCAGTTGTGTTGTTTGTTCAGCCAGCCATGCTAATCCTGAGTTTTTATCATCACCGCCACAAGATGGGGTCAGCACTCAGCCTTGTTTTTTCATGTTTACAGATATTGTGCCTTTCCTTTGTTTAGGGCATCAGGTGACGATCATTTTGCTTGTTTTTATTATTGTGGTTTCGACAAACAAGACACCCCACACCTCAAATACATCGCCTGTCCTCTCTCTCTCGCCGCCCGCCGCGTGTGTTTGTGCTGTTAAAGGGGGCTACGTGAGCACTAATACAGAGAAATCAGTGCGTGTAGCTGTTTTGGGGAGTGTGTGGAAAACCGTGCTGACCTTGCCTCCATCCCTTCACCTCGTCTAATGCTTTGTGACAGACATCTCACAGACACACAACCGTCTGACTACACGGGAGAAAGCGCGTGTGTGTGTGTGTGTGTGTGTGCAGCTCTATCTCATGCTCTCCGGGGGCCTCTACACTTCACACACACACACACACACACACACATATACGCATTCTTTGTGGCTCCTCTGCCGCGCCAGGAATCGCAAATCAGTTTCCATGGCAGCGGTAACCGACAGCACTTACTGGGAGTGTGAAGTCAATGATGAAACTGTCTGGATGCAGAGGCTGTGATGCCTAACCCGCACTTCGAGAGACAAGAGATGGGTTTCGCTGTCGCTGCCTGTGTCTCATTAGTTTTTCTCTTTTTTTCCCGACTTATTTTCTGCACTTTCATGACACACAATAGCTTTAGTGTTGAATCTTTCACAATAAAGACACCAAAAAGGAAACCATGTATTTTTCAAAGCTTACGATCTAATTATCTTCAGATTTGCAACCTAGACAAGCGAACCCAAGGAAATTTACAATACAACAAAATCCCCAGGAGTTTTGCTCAGTATATTACTGTTAAAGTAATATTGTGATACTCTAAGCCTCAAAAAACTGTCTTTGCACAACATTTTGTAAATGCTTGGATTGTAAATATGCTTGAACTGTACATTTTGAATCAGTATATTAGGACTGTAATAACTTAAAGTAATTAAGTACCATATAAGGACTTTTGTAACATTTTGGTGCTAGTACAATCCAATATGCATACTGTTACAGACCAAGTTTAGACAGAAACGTACACGTTTCTTATCTGAATAACCTTTTGATTCAAAACTGATTCTTAAATTCTTAAAGGGATAGTTCACTTTGAAATTAATTTTTGATATGTTTTAGCTTACCTCAAGGGCATCCAAGATGTAGGTGTCTTTGTTTCCACAGTATTTTCAATTTTGATATTTTTAGGTCAAACCGTTCTTGTCTGTCAGTCATATAATGGAGGTCTATGGGGTCCACCTTAAAGAGCATGCACAGAGAAGTCCAAATTAAACATGATTTAATGACTTGTAAATGTAAGTACACATTAATGGCCTAAGACACGAAACGAGCAGTTTGTGTGAGAAAACGAACAGTATTTATATCGTTTTTACCTCTTGTAACCACAAAGCGCCCGCACCCTCAGATCACTTGGACGTGGCCCTGATTACAAGAGGTAAAAACGATATAAATACTGTTCGTTTTCTCACACAAACTGCTCGTTTCGTGTCTTAGGCCATCAATGTGTACTTAAATTTACGAGTCATTAAATCATGTTTAATTTGTGTATGCTCTTTGAGGTGGACCCCATACACCTCCATTATATGACTGACAGACAAGAACGGTTTGACCTAAAAATATCAAAATTGAAAATACTGTGGAAACAAAGACACCTACATCTTGGATGCCCTTGAGGTAAGCTAAAACATATCAAAAATGATTTTCAAATTGAACTATCCATTTAAATTTAGTTTTGTAGACAAATAGACATTTTACATATAGTGGCAAGAGTACGTTTGTAAGAAAGTTAAGAAAATATTAGGATTTCTGCATTGAATACTCATAAAATGTGGTCTGCTCTTTATTTAACTCTTAACTTAAAATTATAAATAATGCCATATACAATAGAATAATACCAAGGATTTGTTCTTTGTCACAATTCCAACAAAAAAAAAGTATGAATTATTTTATTTTGCTCTCATTTGAATTTTCATTGGATTTCGATAAAAAAAAAAAAATTATTGTCAAAAAATAACTATTTCACGGTAAATTCACCTTTTCCCCCCTGTGTGTTTAGGTCTTTGTACCAGCACTTCTGCGTGTAAGAGTTTTGCGTAAGATTTCTTCATTCAGCTAACTCTCTACTTCCAGTGTGTTTTGCGTGACCGCTAACATGCTTGTATTCTAGTGGGGTTGGATTCCTGTAGGGTAGATGTAGTGTTCAAGCTGGCTTGCTTCTTTGTTACCGGAGCCCAAGATGTTGACTCGGAAGTTATCTACAGCTGGTTATTGGTGTGTGAATTTGTTTTGGTCTGTAGGGGCTATATTGCGGGTTAAGTATTAATCACAATAGACTTTTGACCTCAAAAATCTTTGTTTCTCTAATGCACAGCCTCATTTACAGTACTTTGTCTATCCACACAGTATCACCACTAAACTGGAGCGAGCTCTGGAGAAGGTGGCTCCATTGCTGAGGGAGATCTTTGTGGACTTTGCACCTTTCCTGTCTCGTACTCTGCTGGGCAGTCATGGTCAAGAGTTGCTCATTGAAGGTAATGGTACTGTGTTCCTCCCCTCTCCCTGTCTGCTAATGTGTGATCGTGCTGGTATAGGAGTGTAAGGCCCCGTCCACACACTACTGCCTTTTCGTTTAAAAACGGAGAATTAAAACGAATATGATCTCCGTCCACACCACACCAGCATTTTATCTGCATATTAGAATTGATCTCTGTCCACATTAAAACGACTGGAAACTCGGATCATGTGACCATTCACCAACACTGGGCAGGCGCGTGCCGGTGTAAACAGTGGCTGACGGATCAGGGAAGGACACGTCATGACTGATGACACCCAATCATGGAG